AAAAGAATGAAATTAGAACATTCTCTAACACCATATACAAAAATAAACTCAAAGTGGATTACACACCTAAATGTAAGACCAGATACTATAAAACTCCTAGAGGAAAACCTAGGCAGAACATTCTTTGACAGAAATCATAGCAATATTTTTTGGATCTGTTTCCTAAAGTAAAGGAAATAAAAGCAAAAATAAACAAATGGGACCTAATGAAACTTAAAAGCTTTTGAACAGCAAAGGAAACCATTGACAAAACAAAAGGACAATCTACTGAATAGAAGAAAATATTTGCAAATGATACAACCAATAAGGGATTAGTATACAACATATAATAAATGGCTCATACAGCTCAACATTTAAACAAACAAAGAAACCTGATTGAAAAATGGGCAAAAGAACTGAATAGACATTTTTCCAAATGTAATTTCTTTTATAGCACCACTTAATTATTATTATTTAAACTATTGTTTAATAAATGTAATATTTGTAAATGGATAATGTATATTAATTTTTACCTATTTCGAGGCTCCATAATTTGAATAATCTGAATATCCTGGTTAAGCCCACCATAAGGTGCCTTTGCCCCTCTCATTACAAATACTCAAATTGAAAAGTTAGTGTCTAAAGGAGATTAGCCCCAAGTGCATTTCAAATTCATTCCTATTCCAATATAAAGAAGGAAAAGTTGATTTAAAGTAATCAATGTGGCACAACATAAACATTAATTATTTCCAGAATATTCTGCATGTTAATTCAGGTCATCCAGTTGAACTTAGATGTTATCCACTCCTCCTATGAGTTGAGTTCTCATCTACTGCCTGCACCCAGAGACAGTCAAATCCTATCGCCAGCATATTCAGTCCCACAAAGAGCTAGGGAACTAACCTTAGGATGCTGGTTTCTGTGGAAGACTGGACACAAACCGTAGTCATCTTTGTTCATATGTAGCCATCGCATGCATGATCATTTATTCCCACAGTGCTTTGTCATCAACCTTTTCCACACTGCTTCATTGTCTTAGGCAGAGAAACTTGTAAAACATCACTGAATGGTGGCACTCCCCACTTAAGGATGATTCCATTTTGAGGAGAAAATATTGCTCAACACCACTTTAGTGCTAAACATCAGCAAATCTTCTAACTGGCAATCAACTGTCTTTTCCCTTCCTTTCTCCTTATTCCCTCAGCCCCCTATATCACTATCCACTAAGAGTCCCCACTTTAATTCTGCGTCAGGCTCTGCTTCACACTCTCCTTTGGTATAATTCCATGTATTACCACTTGCATCATTCTCACCTTAGCAACTCGTCCCTAGACACATTCCAAACTTAGAATATTCTCTTCTTTCTTAGGAAAACTCCCTTGTCCTAGGTTGCCACATTCCATGCTGCTTTAGAAAAATTAGCATATGCTACTACATTAATATGGACAAATAACATTACCTACTCTGCCCACAAAGTGACAACTTAACATTTAAGATTGTAATTACCCAAAGGTGAACTACTACCGCTGGAAATTTTCAGGTAAATTTGTAGGAAGGTAATCATTTCAGACAGCTGACTGTCTTTGAATGTTCTTCAAATCCCTTAAGTGTTTGCTGATGTACTAGAAATAACATACAATACTCCACCAAAGGCTGATGGTCTGTTTGTCATACAAACAGGTAACCAACATGTTTTTTTTACCCCTCCAGTGTTCTTTCCCTTTCTAGGTGTTAGTCACGGTAGTTTACAACATGGTATTTAGACATGTTACAGAGACCAGAGTCAAGTCATGCTAACAGCCTTCTTTGGTGAAGGCTTCTTCCTGGCAAGAGAATTGGGAAAAGCAGATGGTGAATGTCACATTGGATCAGCTGTGCTGTATGGCCAACACGTAAGGGTCCCAGTGGACCCTGTGTTGTCCACCCTGGGCATTAGGCAGCAACACACACCTGACTTAGCCTGCTCTTATGCAGAGCAACCACTGAACACTGTTATTGTTTTGATGAAAAGAGCCCTGTGGATTGTTTTTGATTTGCATATTAAGAAAGACGAGAAAGCCAGGTTATTTCTTAGAAGCAGCAAGAAAGACATTTTCCCTGGAAAATGTGCAAGATACATCTCTGCTGGAAAACACACACACAGAGACAAAACAAAACAAAACAAACAAAAAATCCTTTCATCCAGAATCTGTGGCTTGCTTTCTTGTATTCCTCAGCACACGTGAATGTGTGAAAATGCACAACATTCAGACGTGCAGCCTGATCAAGTAATAATCTCTTATAATGTTCCTCTATTTAAAGCAACAAACAGATGGAGGGTTTATGAGCACGGCTGGTAAAAGTAAAAGCAAACGATTGTAATAGTTGTACTTTTAATAGGATTCCCCACAATTGAAAACATTATTCCTCAAGGAACAAATTGTTCTATAAAATTACATTACTTAAGAAAGAGACAGTCTGCCCTGACTTTGCTGAGGCAACAGAGGACTCCCAGGACAGCCTGTACTGCAGGGGGCTCTCAAGTCAGATGGGTGTCCTGGGAGAGAGGACACAGGGATGCCTGGCACCATGATCCCCAAAGAAAAAGCTCAGTGGAATAGGGTCAAAAGCAGAAAGACCAAGCGGTGAAAGGGGGTATGAAATATGTCTGAGCTTGCATTGAATTTATTACCTTTTAATTCTCTACTTTGAAATACAACATTTGGGAAATTCCTAGGGATTTAAGATAAGCATGCCACATTGCTTCTCCCTCTGCCAATTCAGACCAAAATCTAGCTCAAGCACAGAAAATCCTGCTTAACAAACAGTGGAACTGTAAACAACCCAATACAAGTTCATTATCATTACCCTCTTTTAAGAGAAACAAAACTCACTATAATTCTATCATTAAGATGAATATACTGTCGTGAGGGCCATTATGTAAATTATAATTAAAGCTAATCTCAGTTAAAGTTATTACACCATTTTGGAAGAAAATAAACAACCCAAAGAGAGGGAAACAGTGTGGTCAATAACTCACTCCAAAAATATTTTTTGCCTCCAAAGCTCGCATTGAGGGAGACATTCCTGTGCATGATACAAATGGTTCTGACATTAAGAAAAGTAAACAAGTAAGAAAAATAGAGATGGAAAAATTCTGTGGTCAGTTCACAAGTGCTTTTTTATTGTTTGAGGCAGGGTTAAAGCCTTTTATAAAGACAAGGATATATGTGCCGCTAGATTGGATGTGACATTGGACTAGTCTAGCTGCCCTTGCACAGAACTCTGGCTGCCCATAATATGCCATGGACAAAACACGTGTTGGTGCTTCCAAACAAAGAACCAGGGTGGGACTGAATTCAACTCATTTAAAGCATTATCCCAGTGCTGTTTTGTAGATCAAACAGAGCAAAGGTACTCAACTCTGGTTATTAACGGATTTGAGAGATAAAGCCAAACACTCAATATCCTCTAATAATTAATGGTCTTAAGGAGTTCCATCTAAATTTGTCTCAATAACTGATCACCAAGTGTTGTGTAATCTGCAAGACGGACTGCTGCCAGCCCCAGAGCAAGTCATTCAAGGACTGTGTTGACTCAGTAGGCCAGAGGCCATGTCAATGGACTAAAACAGAGAAAGCAGGTTCTTCTTGGGTGTCTCAGGGGTTCTGAGTCTTTTTTTTTTTTTTTTTAGAAATATTTTATTTTCCAGTGATTTTTGCGGGTTCTGAGTCTTTAAAGACTTTTACTATAGCTGCTCTCTAGTCATTTGGTATCTATAACTGGGAAGGATTCTCTTTCATGTTTTGCTGTCCTCAAACTAACCGAATACTGGGAGACCCAGGACAGTGAACCTGGTCCAAATAAAAGCAAAAATAAACGCTATTGTGTCAAGAGCAGCGAGCCTTTCAAACATCTTCTACTGGTGTACCAGTATATTAAATGGAATTATAGCCACCCAACCAGTATGATCACGCTTCCTTTCCTTGTAACGTTAGGGCTGGAATAGAGCCAAAGGTGCACAAAGACCATCTCACAAGCTGTGGATTTCATTTCTCAGAGATTCTGAGGAATATACCAAGTTCAAAGGGTTTTGTGCCTTTTATTAAAAACCGTCTGGTCTGGTGAGTGTTTTCTGCAGTCTTCACTCTCCTTTTTAACTTCCTGACCTATCACTCCATCTTTTATCACCTCACTCCCTGTAAATAGCACCCAAAGGAGCAAGCCAGCTTCAAACACACATATGGCCTTAGACATAGCTGGGAGGGTGTGTGGTTAAAAATAAATAAATAAGAGCCTTTGGTACAACCAGAACCCGGTGTTGTGAAAGATGCCTGACACTGACTAGCATTCAGGGCAAGAAGTGGATTTGTAAGTGAACAAAATATGATGAAGTCCATGTTTTTGTAGTCAGGGATTTAGGGAAGGCAACTTACTCCAATACACGAATGCTAAGAACACAAAGCTCACCATAAATGCACAACGTGTCTAAGAACTTACCTCTTCTGTTCTCTGAGAAACTGCAAACTGAAATGCATTGCCCGTGATAAAGATGCTAAAGGCTGATGGGGGTGGGGTGGGAGGGGACCATGCAGAATACAAGAGGTTAAGATTTAAGGGAAATAAGGGAGTAGAGCCTTCCTTTAAACTGGGACTCTCTCGCTGAAAATAAACCCACAGCACGATGGTATTAGGAGGATCTCTACTCAGTAGGCAAGCTAAAGACACAGTCTCTCTCACTTGACTAAAGCCACTGAGCATACTTAGGGAGGCCCCAGGTGTGACCTCTGCTCCCCTGTGAGCAGTGGAGGGGCCAGGCAATCTATCATGGTGTTCATCCTGTCAGCCCTGGTGCTTCGCCACCGCTGTCTGTCACTGTGGTGGATGAGACCTGCTTAAGGGCAATCATGTCAATCTCTATGTGACCACTCAGTCTAAGGCAGAAGGATGATCTTGACAGGCCTGGCAAAGTCAGCAGAAGGTACCAAAAGCTGACGTCATAGCTTTCCCACAGAAAAGCGATGTGGGCCATTGTCTTTTCGTTTAGCTTTTTCTTTATTTTTGCTTTCCCTTTTTTCTTTTACTCTCATGTCACTGGCTAAGGCATACAGAACTTGCCTTCAGAGCTGGTCATCGCGGATAAACCTGTTGCCCTCTGAGTTCTTCCCATAGTAAACATAGCGACACTTCCCCAGGACACCTGCAAATAAAAAGATACACATCATTACAGGTGGCACAAGTAGTATAGCAAGAAAACACAGGTGCTGCAAGGCAGAAATACAACACAATCACAGATCCCATGCATGGGTGGCAGCAAACGGATTAAGCCCCAGAAGGGAAGGACCCTATTTTCTTGGCCTCAGAGTTGACATTCAAATAAAATGTCACCAGAGCACAGGCTCCTAGGAATAACACTTTCCTGCATGATTTCTTTTCCACATTTTAGAGAATTTTCTAGTGTGGTCAATTACTTCTCAAAACAAAGCAAAACCCTCTTCCCTCTCCAAGTTCTCTTGGTAGAATTTCTAAAAATGGAAAATTAAGAGTTTAAAGATGGGCCCAGCCCAAACAAAAGATATAAAACAATCTTCCCAGAATGTGGCTCTTTTCAAAATCTTTATCGTGAATCAATTTTGTTAATTTCCAGAGAGAACCTTCCAAATCCCAGCAGACATCAAGTACATAATGGACGATTAAGGAAGAATTGTGGTCTCCACAAAACGCCACATGGAAAGTAACGGAGCCTCTGACGTTAAATGGCTTCCTCTTACAGGGGAATCCTGAACTGTATTCTCAGGTTGGAATGCACTTGATTTTCATCTTCAGTTTTATTTTAAATAGTTTTGCGGCTCCCTATACAGCTTTCCTGTCATTCACGGAGGTCATAAGAGGACTTAACTATAAACGATGCCCCTAGAATAAGGTCACACCTTTCAATCAACTCAATATTTATTCTAAATATCTATAAGAAATCACCTGCCACAGTTATTTTGACAGTATTATTAAGTAAACATCAGTTTTTCCAAGAAAATATCTGTAACTACAATTTGCTTTTGGCCACCCTGGGTTTTTTTCCTTTTAATTTTAGAAAAACAAACTTAAAATTCAGCTTCATGGAATTGTCTTATTACTAATACTCTGTGAGTCTCTGAAGGGTGCATAACCAGAAAAAAAAGAAACAACCCAAAGAAGTGTCCATAAAACATAAACTCATGAGCTACAAATCTGTCTGTAAAAATAGCTTTCTATATACATGTTTTTTCCCCATTATTTTGATGATAGTGTGAAACAAGCAACCACTATCTACTATTCATCTGGGATAAATTAGCACTTGAAATTATTCAGGTTCTTCAAATCAGAAGTCCTCCGTGGTAAATACTTGGGTCATTGTACAGGAGGTGTTTCTCCACTATAGAACTGTAGACCGTATTCTTAAACATGGATTAAAAATGACTCTCAGAAACTTTTAATGACAAGGCAAATGCTCCTTGGTTCAGATGGCTTGGGACAAAGTGGAGAATTGCTGGGTTCTCAGAATCTCTGCAAGCTGGCAATAGGGAGGGGATGACATCATTCCACGGCCTCAGACTGGGCCGTGAGCTGGCTGTCATCACCTCCATTTCCTGCCATGGTCCCCTGAGCAAGTTCACTGTGGACCACTCTTCCCCTTTGGCTATGCTTTTTCCTTGGCCCCCCAACCCCCAAGTTCTGCTTTTCAGTATTGGTCTGGAGCCTGGAAACATTGAGCTTGGATGAAACCTCCCTGAGACCCTTCTTGGGGCCTAAATTATTCTTTTGGTGGTTGTCACTGAGCTGTTCCCTTTATTGTGCTGAATTACGTAGCACCTGGAGTTGTGCTGATATTGTCACCGATGCTAGGACGGGTCTGTGGGCATGGCCGTGGAGGCTGCATTCCAGGAACAGCATCCCCTGCAGGCCTGGGTGGGAGTGTCTCAGAAGTCTCTGAAAATCTGCAAGGGGCTTCCTTGAACATAACTGATTCAAATAAACCCTCAAGAATCTGGAAGGATGAGGCCAAGGGATGTTAATTTCTTTCTACAGCACCAGGACAGCAGGAATTTTTATAAAAAGGAATGGATAGGGCTGTCAGATATTATAAAGAACACAGAAGAGAAGGAAAGGCAGACACACACACATACACGCACACGCGCACACACACACACACACACACACACACACACAACACACCAGCGGGTGCGTTTGCTCCGGGAAACTCTCCAGCACATTCTGGATTGAATTCTTTTCTCTGTGCTCTCTCCATGGTAAATCTCAACTGCAGACCTTGCCTAGTCTAGATACAACCTGGACAGAAAGTGCCCTTCTGGAAACAGGCTGGATCTTCCTGAACATGGGCCACAATGTGGAGGAAGGTGACATGTTCTGAGCCACACTGCCCAGCCCTGCTTTCTGATCAGCATTGATAAAAGTCCTTTTTAAGGCCCGCCCTGTTCCTCTGGGCCTGGAAGCAAGAATGTTTATAGACACCCTGGTGAGAGAGGGCTGTTTGATGAATGCAGGAGACTGTGGCAAAGTGTCAGAGCTTGGAAAACGAGGCAAGGACATGAGGTATTAACATTGTCAATGATCTCTTGACGGGAAAACAGATACCGTGCTCACCCTCAGATTTAAATAGACATCAAGTGCATTAATGACAAGAGGGCCGACTTCAAACAAAGGGGCTGTGTGGTGGGGGGCAGAACACATCTCTGGGCTGGCAATAACCTGATCTGAAAAGACAGTGTCAGGGCTCGAGACAGGCCCAGGATTGTGTGTGGTGACAGAAAACAGAGATGCTGACAGAGATACCAAAGCCATATTATGCCAAGGATATTCTAACGCTGTCTGCCCCGCTAACGAAAGCTGACATCACTCCCTAGCACTTGGGGTCTTCTTCGCCTTCTCCAGCAGAACGCTTCTCCCCAGACATCATTACAAAACTCGCTGCCGTGGCCAAGTTCCTGGCAGCCCTGTTCTGTCAGAGCGCTGGGGTCACGAGGCCCGAGGATGACCTCAGTCAATCTAAATTTGGGCTCTGCAGGAGGACCACACTCATCCCCTGCCGATATCCCAGCTACTTGGGGTGATCAGAGCGCCAACGTGTGAGGAGCTGTCACCTTGAATAAAATCCGGAAAGGGAAGGCACTCAGTCTGCGGGCTCCTCCAGGAGGCGCGGGGACAGCCTGGCAGCCGACAACGAAATCCAGCTGCTGTCGCTGCTCCCCTGGGGAGACAGGCGGGCTGGCTAGTGACAGTTAAAATCGGATGAGATTTTTGAACTTGAACCGCCTACGATTGCTTAAATTAACCAGGTGGTTGCCTCCATTGAGACGCCTACCTGAGCTCGCAGCTCAGAAGGGATTACCCCCCCCAAAGGGGACTTTTGTATTTAATAAATAAGTAAGTAAATAACATTAACAAGGGAGGAAAAAAAACCCGCCCAGTCCCACGTGTGGCCATAAGACTTCACTTATCACGAAGGTTATTTGTAAACTCATAGGAGCCGCTCATAAATGAAGGCACGTGGTGACTGCGGGCTTCTCTCTTCTGCTCTCCCCCTGGCCTTCCTCCTTCCAACACGGCAACTGCCATAAACTGAGAAAATTTACAGAGGAAACAGTTTGCTTGCAAAGGACATTTTGACAGTGAGGCGCTCTGAGGCTGGAATTCGGGAACCCGCGGGTGGTGACTCGGTAGGCGGTGGTTTCTGTGTACATCTGCAATGCATTCCCTTGTTTGTGTCTCCCCGAACTCTACACGTCTTGGGACTGGAAGGGGAACAACACATTTAATGGCGTATGTAGTGTTTTTAATTAAAATATCTGGCATTGCCCATAATAAACGAAGCAGGCTTGCCATGCATCAGGCTGACATGTAGCTGTCTGTGGGGGGTTTCTTTTGGGAGGCCCTGGAAAAATGACAGTGCCCTGTCCCCTCGGGAATCCTCTCCTGCCAAATGAGGCCCCTAATTTTTCTTAAGTAGCCGGCTCTGCCGTTGCCGTAAGTTCTTAAACCTATAGTTATGGAAAAAACTGTACTGGGAAGAATCTGTTTTAAAGAGGTCCTTTTTCTTTTAGATGTTTCCCCTCACTGGAGTGAGTGTTCTACTTATACAGGTTAAGTTATGACCTTGGGGCTGCCTGCGGGGGTGGGAATCAGCCTCTTTTCTTGGATGCCCCACTGTGATGGTGGCAGGGACGGTATTGAGGAAAACCCTGAGTGTCCTGGGAAGGACGTCTTCGCACAGCCATGCAGAGTCCAGCAAACACCTCAGGACTCCCTGACCTTCTGGATGGCCTCGCCCTACCATCTATTTAGTAAGGGGAGGTGGAGAAAGGCCTGTATTTAAATCCAGCTCTACCCCTAATAGTTAAGTGACCATGTGCACATACCTTTCCCTCACTGGGCTGGTTTCTCCATTTGTAAAATGAGGGCAAGGGGCCAGGTATCCCAGATTTCCACCTTAGTTCTGAAACAGATGATTTAGCATTTCTGAATGTTTCCCTTATGAAGATAAGGACGCCAGGTACCATATTGCCTGATGTAGGAGGCAGAGCCAGTGGTCAGTTAATCAAAATTTGATTTGGACCAAGGCAGCTCTTGAAACCCATCCAGTCCATTTTCCCATTAGATACAGAAGGGGAGCTCTGCTGGACCTCAAAATCCCCAAGGAAAGAATTTCCACTAACTCTCCTGCAACTTGTATTTCATACCCAGAGCTGGGAAGTGCTTACCACTAATTAACCTATATCTCCCTAGCTTTGACATAAGCTCTAGTCTTCTAACTCCATATTCAACAGAACTAAAGACTACACATCAGAGTAAGTGGTCTACCATTAATATTTTAGCTGTGAAAGAATAATCATCTTTACTCATACAAATGCGAAAACGTATCTGATGATGGAATATGGGATGGACCAATAAATTCATATTTGTAAAACAGAAAAAGTAAAATATCGATTTTATTATCACTATTAACGTTAGTTTCGGTAATTGTTGTTTTAAACGCTATTATCAACAAAGGTTTGTAAGTGTAACTGTGCAACGACAAACAGATTTTAATCTGTTTGTGGTCACTAGCACCTTCCAACTAGTGCTACAAAACAGGCAAGGGGCAGGGGGCTCCTCATGGAACTCCTGTTCTCCAATCTGTATGAGGAAAGCAAGGAACTAGCCTCTTCA